CCACATATCGAAAGGAATATATTAAAACATGAAAATTAAAATCTATTCATCCTCTTCATTCAATTGTATGTTTTTGTTCTGTATGGCGGCGGAAAGACGTGAAAACGACTGCCATTGCGTTCGATTCACAGCAGACAACCCCCATGCAATTCCTGCGCCCTATCAGTATGTATCGCACAAGAGACAAATGACAGGGAGCCCCTATACAACGAGACAGCGGCCATTATGGAAGAGTCTGAAACAACGGAAGCAAGAGTAAAACGACTGTAACAAAAATTGACATCATTCTTAATTTTAGCGGTTATAAACTGTTAAGACAAACATCATGCAAGGATAAAGTTCATAGAACAATGACAGAACGAGATCGATTTGGAGTGTAAACACTTTCGCTTTCGCCTACGCCACATGTCAGGTCAAAATGAAGAGTTATACTTCATGATCTTCGTGTTTTCAGAATGTCACGGTGCACGGCTGTACGCGTTTAAGCAGCTAGAAAAGCAAGAGTACGTTTATTTGGGAGGGTTAAATTTAGAGAGGTAAATGTAAACCCGAGCCGAAAGCGGAAGTCTGCACTGAAGCCGTTCTCGCATTCTCTCAAACTTTTGTGTGTGTTTACATCAAGATATGTCAACAATGACGTACACGTACAGCTGATTCTCGTATTATTGATTATGTAAAGCCCAAACAATGCAATGAAATGTCATTCCTGTGTTTACAAAGAACGATGCAAAATGTAATATTGCAAGCATAAAGATCAGTTGGCTAAGCTTAAATATAGGACTTATATCTTAGACTATTATTATTTCTTTCAGGGTGGCAGAGTTTTGATAGTGATTGATGGAGACGATAATTACTGAGGAGAAGACGAAGAAGAAGGTACTGTGATCTCGCGTTGGGCTCGAAGGAAAGTGGCTTTACAGTTCAATGAGGAGTGCCTCGATGGAAGAAGAAGTTTCATCTTTTCGTGGAACAAACAACACCGAGAGATCCATGAAGAAGCGCTGTTGCATTACTTTGATCCAAGCAAGAAAGGTCAGAAGTTTGAACATCAACCAAAACCAAAACCATTACACTTGCCAGTACCTAAAATAATTCCGGCACCAGCCGTTGAAAACGATGAAGAGGTATGACAGCCTAAGATAAACTTGTTGTCGCTATCATTGGTAATTTTGTTTTGACGAGAGAATGGTAGTAACTGGAAAATCGTAAAAGGGATGGGCGCAAAAATGTGCTGGTAGAAAGAGAAATATTGAGAATCAGTCACTCTGTTTGTCAATCATTCAGTTTGTTTGCCAATCAGTCAGTCAGTCAGTCAGTCAGTCGGTCAGTCAGTTCTTCAGTCAGTCAGTCAGTCAGTGGCCAGTAAGTCAGTCACTCAGTCGATGAGTTAGTCAGTCACTCAGTCACTCAGTCAGTTGATCAGTCGATCGGTCGATCAGTTAGTCCTTCAGTCAGTCAGTCGGTCAATCAGTCGATCAGTCGATCAGTCTATCAGTCTATCAGTCGATCAGTCGATCAGTCGATAAGTCGATCAGTCAATCAGTCGATCAGTCAGTCCTTCAGTCCGTCAGTCGATCAGTCGGTCAGTTGATCTGTCGATCTTTCGGATCATCAGTCAATCATATATTCATTCAATCAGTCAGTCAGTCAATCAGTTTTTGAGTCGATCTGTCAGTCATTCTATCAGTCAGTCGGTCGGTCAGTCAGTTAGTCAGTCAGTCAGTCGATTACTCTTTTAGTCATGTAGTCGTTAGTTCCTAATTTGTTTGCTTATTGTTTCGTCCATTCATTCATTCATTCATAAGGTCTTTTTAGTCATTTTGTCCTTCATTCCTCCCCCTCCCTATTGAACTTTATTTCTTTACATGTTTATGACAGCGTCTGGACACAGATGGCAGAGTACCTCTTGTACCAAATTCTGAAAATGGCAGCCGTCCACGAGGACCAAACGATAAAAAAAGTGAGTTCCCAGTTGACCTGGACGAAATCAGTTATGAAGGTAAAATTATGATCGAGAAATTTTGGGTTATTCCTCTCTGGCTATGCTACCAAAACATATTTGATGCATGGCTGCAGTTTCTACTACTGGAGTAGGGATTTAAAGTCTTTATTTCCCAGGAATAGCTTCTAGACGGATTGTGGCCAGATTGAGAAGAGGGAGCGGGTTAAGGGTTATAATTACAGTTGTCCGAAATCTTAAACTTCCCGCTATCTGAACTCAAATCATTTTCCCTTGAATATGCTTTTTCAGGTCATTTACTATCAGCTATCTCAAGCCCCCGCGAACTATTTTTTGTTTCCCTTGAAAGTTACAGACAGGGGGATTCAACCGTAATTACAAACCAGGGTTAATTAACAGCAACATGAGCGTATTGGCTCATGCCGCGATAACACGCGCACGGTGGCGAGTAGAGTAGAGAGTAGTCAAGTCAAGTATTATCTTCATCTCGCGGGTGCCCTCGCTCGGCCAAAGTAAATCATTCATGCGCCAAATCCCGCCATGTACGCCCACGACACTAGGCTCCTCCAATCCTTGGGATCAACCTAAGCTTTAAACACCGAATCAAACTTGCAGCGCGCACATCTGGGAAAGCCTAGTTCAGAGGGGAACACTTCAACCTAGGCTGCTCTGTTTAGGCAATACCTGACATGAAATCATTGAATTTTATTGAGCATTAGACCTTGCATCTTATCCATTTACCTTTTCTAATTTTAGTTGTTGTTAGTTGTTTGGTTAAACGTGGGTCGTTTGTTTCAATTTGGACGTCCTACGCCCCACATACCACCTCCTTTGCTCTGCACCTAAACTCCCACGTCCCTCGCTCCATTTTCCGCGCTCTACGTCCTACTAACTGCGCCCGTTTTATACTAAGCCGAAAGTCGCTTCAGTTATAAACTTATATGTTGTTCCACTCCATCTCCAGCTCCTCGAGTAATAATAGACGTTGGCACTGTAACAGCAGACTACCAAGAGGGCATGGTGCTGCTAGACACTCGCATGCATCATGGAAAAATCTCTTATGATGAGAAAGACGTTCAAAGCTGGGACCAAAAAATGGCGCCCATCCGAAAAAACTGTGCGGGACTTGGGACGAGACTGGAAGTCAATACCTGTTGCCAAACTGTTGTTTATCACTAATGGTGTTGGCGATGTTTGTTGTAAGGTGAATGAGGTTAAACCTCGCAGGGAAGGTTGGCGTGCATGGTTATCTGCTCTTTTCATTTTCTGCTAACTGCGGTGTTTTCTGCGATGTTTTTTTTTTCGTAAGGTTTTGTTTGCCTCTTGGTTTAAAAACCGTTTAATAACTATGATATATAATGATATTTCAAAAACGGGGGGGCAAAGCCCAACGTTTCTTTACAGAATCGCTATAGCTAAGTTTAGAAACTTATTCCGATGTGTTTTGCCTATAGAATTCTTTATAAGACGGAGGGAGGGCGCTCGTCGAAAAAAAATGAATTAAACCCTTCAAGGAGATCAATATGGACGTGGCTCAAGTCTTGTTTGAGCCCTAAAGGATGCCATTCCAGACCAAAACACAAATAAGAAGTAACAGTNACCGAATCAAACTTGCAGCGCGCACATCTGGGAAAGCCTAGTTCAGAGGGGAACACTTCAACCTAGGCTGCTCTGTTTAGGCAATACCTGACATGAAATCATTGAATTTTATTGAGCATTAGACCTTGCATCTTATCCATTTACCTTTTCTAATTTTAGTTGTTGTTAGTTGTTTGGTTAAACGTGGGTCGTTTGTTTCAATTTGGACGTCCTACGCCCCACATACCACCTCCTTTGCTCTGCACCTAAACTCCCACGTCCCTCGCTCCATTTTCCGCGCTCTACGTCCTACTAACTGCGCCCGTTTTATACTAAGCCGAAAGTCGCTTCAGTTATAAACTTATATGTTGTTCCACTCCATCTCCAGCTCCTCGAGTAATAATAGACGTTGGCACTGTAACAGCAGACTACCAAGAGGGCATGGTGCTGCTAGACACTCGCATGCATCATGGAAATATCTCTTATGATGAGAAAGACGTTCAAAGCTGGGACCAAAAATGGCGCCCATCCGAAAACACTGTGCGGGACTTGGGATGAGACTGGAAGTCAATACCTGTTGCCAGTGTTGTTTATCACTAATGGTGTTGGCGATGTTTGTTGTAAGGTGAATGAGGTAAAACCTCGTAGGGAGGGTTGGCGTCCATGGTTATCTGCTCTTTTCATTTTCTGCTAACTGCGGTGTTTTCTGCGGTGTTTTTTTTTTCGTAACGTTTTGTTTGCCTCTTGGTTTAAAAACCGTTTAATAACTATGATATATAATATTTCAAAAACAGGGGGGCAAAGCCCAACGTTTCTTTACAGAATCACTATAGCTAAGTTTAGAAACTTATTCCGATGTGTTTTGCCTATAGAATTCTTTATAAGAGGGAGGGGGAGCGCTCGTCGAAAAAAAATGAATTAAACCCTTCAAGGAGATCAATATGGACGTGGCTCAAGTCTTGTTTGAGCCCTAAAGGATGCCATTCCAGACCAAAACACAAATAAGAAGTAACAGTGACCCTAATGATGAAAAGGACATGCTTTCATTTGTGAACAAGTATTGAAAATTCCGTTATCCGAGTAAGACAGCAGCAATTTTTTTTGTCAAAACTAAAATATAGCTAATGTGATTTAAGCCTCTGACTGGAATAAGTATAAAATAAGTGCATTTTCGGATAATCAGTTCAGAAAAGTTATCATATCTTGTAGTTTGGCTGTTTAAGTTTCATTATTTAATTGTAGTTTGACTAAAAGGGGAAAAAATATGTGTGTAACTTTGTAATGATACCTGATGGTAGAATAAAATGTGAAAAGACCACGTGTGTCGTTTGTGCTGTTCAATATCATATATATTCTCATGTCTGGTTTTAATAAAGAGATTTTTAAATTTAATTATGATTTCCTAGGCGAGCAGCGTGTTTCCATTGAAGAAATACCTAGCTGGTGTGTCAAATTCGATGGTTCTTCCATTGGGAATGAAAAGCAGGGAAAGACTCATTAAAATACATGCGATCGTTTTCGCCCCAGCTCATCCTACACCTGCCAGCCTGATATGTTTTGCTTCGCGTCGCCTCATTAACACAGTTGGACACGTATGCGTGGCAAGCAGACCTATCTCCTCTTCAGATTTTTTTTTTTCGAGTTAGTTATGTTTTTCTGTTTCCTCTGGCATTTTTGAATGTCAGAAAATCACCTACGTAAATCCCTCCAAACACCGATCCAGTAAAATCTGACTAGCTATCCGTATGAAATTTATGGTTGATTCCTAGTCACCTAATTAGGTTTGTTAATTTGTTTTAGTAGTATATTTGCGTGGTTCCAAGTTATATTGACACTAATAAAAGATATGTGTCAGATAAAATGGCATTTCCCCACTTACCAAGGACATCTCAAAATATAATAACAAGAAAGAAAAGCCAAAATTATAAACGTAAATTTGTCTCTCCTACACTCCTTCTGACTATTTACAGAGTTAAAAAGGTAAAAAGTAAAACTGAGATACCTAAAATTAGGCAGCTCCCGTAAGGTCTCACATGAATGGCTTGAAACCCTTTTAAGAGGACAATAGAACAAACAACAGAAACAATGCCCCCTAGCTCCAAAACAATAACAGCTGCTGCAATGACGACAAATAGAATGACAAGCTTACGAGAGCTGCTACACTACAGCAAATTAATAAGTACATAAAACACAGTTTTGAGCCTTGCTCTGACCAGTTGTTCCAGGTATCTCATTTTCTGAGGTTCCTGTTAAAGGCTTCTAGTGACACTGAATGGCGAAGACTCGATGACTATTCAGTTATATATATATATTACCGATCTTGGTTTGTTTCCTTGCTTCTTTGTATGTTTCTTTGAGTTGTTCCTTTGTGTCTTTGCTTCTTTTTATGCTTTTTGCTTACTAACGAGCATAAGCGCATCTATGACTGTCTGTTTGCTTGCTTGTTTACTTGACAACTAGTACAAGGGAGCCAGAGAGAGAAATAGGAAAGAAACATTTTGTATTGGTGGTAACAAGTGTGTTTTGTGACAGCATTACGTTACACAGAAAATTGGATTTCGAGAGGTTTGTTGTCGACGTGTTCGTCGACACTGAATATTGTGCTAANGTTCATGTTAAAGGCTTCTAGTGAAACTGAATGGCGAAGACTCGATGACTATTCAGTTGGTTTGTTTCTTTGCTTCTTTGTATGTTTCTTTGAGTTGTTCCTTTGTGTCTTTGCTTCTTTTTATGCTTTTTGCTTACAAACGAGCATAAGTGCATCTGTGACTG